AAATTGTAATAAAAACTGTTTCAATCTTTCTAATAAGCCTCCTGCAGCAACAGTCAAAGCAAAAAATGTTCAAAATAAGCCTTCAAATATCTGTGACTGCTCAAAGGGTGTAGTTCTAATGCCATGCAAGGGAATTTTAAAGAATAAAACCACAAATGAAGACAAATGTTCAGTGAAGATAATATGTGATAATGTCCCTCGAAATTCACCTAATGTTACCAAGAATGATATCTGTTCTCAAGCTTTAAAACAACTTCGAAATGATCAATACCTCCTTTTAAACTGTGCAGATAAACAAATTTGTGAACCTAATGATCAAAATTCGAGAAATAAAAATGGAAGAGATGAGAACTGTGTGAAGCATAGAAGATCGATTTCTTGTTGCCCAAATGCAGAAAATAATAATCAACCTTCAGATAATTGTCCAGGTAACGTTCTTTCTAAGCACAAAGACAAAATGTTTTTAATTTCAAAATGTTTATAGTTTGAAGTAATAATCGTGCTTTTACAGAGAAAAGAGGATCAAACAAAAGATTGGACGATGATTCAGATGATGAATACGAAGGAGGTGCAGTAAGTAAATTATCAACTTTCCTAAGTGATATATACAGAAGGCGGCTGAACGATATCGATATTGTGTCAAATGGTAATCTGAAGCTAAAAGCTGTTACCTATAAGGAATGGGGTACGATGTTATTAAAAATGAATGATAATATGCTGCGACATGCAGAAGATTTGGAATCAGATATGGCTGAGCTTTTAGAGAAGGAAAGAAAACGTATACAGTTAAAGAATAAAGAAGAGAAAAAAATGAGGAATAAATACACTCGGGACATAACTAAACTCATTGACATATTTGCTCATGCATATCAAACTAGGGAATGGAACTTTGATTGTGATTTCGAAACGTTCAACAAAGAGATTCTTTTGTATCCTAATAACTCTTGCTAAAACAATATGTAATTTAAAACACTTTTCGGCACTAAGATTTACTACTAAAATGAACTTTACAATTAACAATTGAAATAGAAACCACTTAACAATAACCTATAATTATTTGAAGTCGTCATTACTTATAAATTTATTGATTGATATTAACATTCAATTTGCTTTTCTAGTTTTTCTTTATTGTAAAGACATGGTTGTGTTAGTATGTTATAGAAATCCAACAAGATGACTCCAAAAACGTGATTTGGGGTAGCGCTATCCCCTTTGTGATACTTTCTCAAGCAAAATTATTGTTTATATTGTCATATGTTGAGCCAAAGGTTTGCCATTTTATAATTTGGATCGCTTAACAGCCACTGAGCGTGCTAAAATTTTGAATTTCAACTATTTTTCATAGAGTTTTCTTTAGTTTTGGAGCTTATTGTTCACTTGATGGGTGTGTAAATAACAAAATTGTCGCATTTAACATTTGGAGCAGTAATAATGTAGAATTAGCTAACTAAAGAATTTTGTATCTACAATAAGTTATTGTATAGTGCAGTATTTGAGTCGGTGGTATGATTGAGCTCTGTTTTTTTTGAAATTAACGAGAGTAAACGTCAATTATAATCACTATAGCAACATGACAGCAAATGTTTTTTTCCATCAAATTGAAGGTACTTATATATGTTTATATTAGAGATTGCAATAGCATAGTTGTACCAAACACGTCTTATTCTGGTTTTATTTTACGTGCAATATCAAACAAATGAAATTCCATTCTTTGGTGATGTCAATTGGTTAATAATATACTATATTATCACTTTGACTTATCGTCCTCTTTAGCGTATTTATATGTGAATTTTGTATAGATTTTGTAGTAAAAATCGTAATATTACCTCATTTTATGGAACTAATCTAAGCATTATTAATAGTTTATAATAAATTAATAGTTTAGTTTAGTGTAGTTTAGAAACAATCAATGAATGTTATATTAAATTTTAAGCAAACTAAATTTAGAAATTTATTAACGTGAAATTATTTATTAAAATGAACACAATTCATTTATTATGTTTAGTAGTTTATTATGATATTAATATATAATCAATTATTTCAATGGTCTGTCAGAAGAAGCTAAAAAGCTATGGGTTGTACTCCGATTGATTCTCTTCAGTAAGGTACCTTGTGATATACGATGGTTTGCTTACACATGAACAAGCCACGTACAATTGACCATGAGAAAAATATACATTTTCTAGATTCAGACCACAAACTCTCAAGGATTGGCCTTGTGATATATTTATCATCATGGCGAATGCAAGCCGAATAGGAAATTGAATTGGTTCAAACTCAAAGATCATATCGGTTGGGATCATTAGAATCCTCGGAATGAGAACTTCATCACTTGAATTTTCCTTTAAGTATCGTTGCGTGAACCACATTAGCCATCAGTTTTATTATCAACAATCGCGTTCCATTGCATAGTTTTGGTTGGTTTAGACTACCAAACCGAAGCATAATGACTACCGAACTTGCCTTTATTTGTAAATTGTGCAGTGGTAAGCCTATGCCTGGCTCCAAGGAATTCAAAAATTCAGTTGGATACTTGATAGCTTCGTCTTCGTTTGTTACATAGTCAATAGATTTGAATGTATGCAGAGAACCAACGATTGGATTTTGAATTACAAAGTTCAAGTCATCCACATCTTTGTTCTTAGCCCCCAAAATTGCTCGCTCACTTAACCATTTGTGATTTTTATGACTATCAATGATGTTCGGAAAAACTGCGTTGATGAGTTCGTCTTTTGGTGAGACGAAATTGCAAAAATTTAAAGAAAATGCAATTAATCTGCTCGGTTCTTCAACAGGCACACGGTCATAACCGATTGTCAGCAATTGCTTGGAAAAATCTTCATATACCATATTGACGACAATATTTATTTATTATATTTGAAATTTATTATATTTGAAATTTAAAATACTGATGACACTCAAGAATACAAAAAGAAAATCAGTATCACTCAAACTGCCATACTGTCAACAGTTTGAAACAGAAATTTATAAATTTATTATTTACGTTAAAATTAGTGGATTTTTCCAATATTTTATAATATATTCTCTATTCTCTATTATAATATATTCTATTCGGAGCGGAGATTTTACTTACAGCTCATATATTGATGACAGTATTTATTTATTATGTTTAAAATTTGAAATATTTGAAATATTGATGACACGCAGATATATAAAAAAAACTCAGTATCCCTCAAACTGTCAACAGTTTGAAACAGAAATTTATAAATTTATTATTTAGGTTAAAATTAGTGGATTATTCCAATATTTTATAATATATTCTGCTATTCGGAGCGGAGACGAATCCAACAAACCAAAGATAATTAAAATTGATGCAGCCGTTCTTGAGTTATAAGTAGTCTAACTAACACAACTTTCTTTTATGAATATAGATTAAATTAATTACTATTAATTAAAAAATAAGAGCTATAAGCTAAAAGAGCTATGCATTATTAATAGTTAATTATTTTTAAATTAATTATTTTTAATCAGAACAAGAGCTATAGGAATCATATTTGCATTAATCAGATATTCGCTTAATAAAGGAAATTATAATTAAATTTAGTAATCTCTTATTAACTATAAAAAGCATTTCCCGCTACTATGAATTAACTATGAAAGTGAAAAAATCAAAAATACTGGTAGCGCAACGTGATATAAGCTTTTGATAAACTGACATATAAGTTAAGTACTCATATAGCTAAGTACGTCTGAACTATCACCTTTGACTTGCCCGTAATCTCGCAAGCAAAATAAATGAGGTTGACTTTATATCATTTTCGACTTGAATACTCGTGCCAAAATAAACACTTTTAAACAAATATTTACATGAGAAGTAATAATACACCAAAGTGGGTTGTAGTATCACACACTAATAGGCACTCTTATAGCAATTCAAGTCAATTGTAATCAAATATTTACATATGAAGACATATACTTAGCTACATAAGTAGTTGCATGCAATGGTATAGTCCTGGCTGCATTGAATCATATGAAGGTATACTCATATTCGTAGGTAGCTAAACGCAAATTAAAATAAAAATAAGAAAGGCAGATAAGCAGAAAGAGAGGAAATGAAAGCAGCTCAATAAAGCAAAAAATAAAAAATAAATAAATAAAATAAGTTATAAAAAGCAACACTTCCGTTTTACCAACATACACGCTCAGCTATTTAAGGATACAATATAGTCATAAACTACTGGATCCTTTTTTTTCTGCTTAAATGTTTACATGCACAAATTTGGTTTGTAACATGAACTGGGCGCCAAATCCACAAAACCATCATTTTGCCGTAAGCACTCACCGTCGCAATCGTAGAAAATGTCAAGCAATCAGTTCCAAAAAAAAAAAAAATACTAAACCAGGAATTCAAAAAAATTGTCCAAACTTATTGCCACCACACAGCTTCAGCAGACAGCGGAAATAAAGAAGATAACCGCTGAAATGTCCTCCTTTAACTGTGAAAACCCCAAAAAAAATTATTACACCCGCAAAAATGGCAAAAAAAAAGTGCTCGTACCGAAAAATGACATGAACGGCGGCAACAGCATATGGCGGCTGCTCCACTCTGAAGATAAACAACCAAACCACGGTGAGTGTAACTTATTTTTTATTTTCGGAATGGTACTGGTTCACTTGCTAAGACTAAAAGCGCCAAATAACTTCGAATAAAAAGCAAATATTGCCAAGTCCACAGAAATGGAAAAAAAATAGGAATGAAAATAAAATTTTGACAAAAAAAAAGGGTGGGAAGGTAAAAAAACCTAGTTAAGCGACTTGCCAGAGGAAGAAAAACATACCGAAACACTTTAGATTTTGTTCTTAACAGGTTTTGCTATATTTGTACTACGATTTCTCCAAATTTTTTCTATATTTTATATTTCTGTTCCAATTTTTTTTTTTTTCTGCTAAGCATTTTTATCGGTTACACTCGAACTCATATTGTAGTACCATTGTTACAGCCATTAACTACGAAAGAAGGCATGCAAAACACATGTAAAGTGTATGTTAAATGTTCAATAGGAATCACTAGGTACGATACCAGTACCTTTAGCTTTCACCCTTCCTTCACTACAAGTTTGCAGTTCCTTCACAACTCAAAAAGCGAAAAAGGAACCTTTTACATTGTATTCCTTTCTTTCTGCTGCCTGTTGAAGTACTCAGTGTGGTACTCGTATATTTGACATTTTTCAGGATATTCGGGATATTGCAGAGTTTAAGTGCAAAATATTTAAAGCCATTTTTATTGTTGCATTGTGCGTTTTTTCGATTACGAGTGTGTACACCTTCTTGACAAGTTTTCACAGATATTTACCTTTGACTTAAGCTAAACACACTTCTCAGTATCTCAGAGTTAATGGAAACAGTCGACGAGTTAATAAAGGTGCTATATATTTTTATGTTATTATTTTAACAATGATGCCATTCAAATGAGGTAAAAATTTAAAATTCAATTAAATTTTATTTTATTTCATTTATTTTTATACGACACAAAAGATTATTTCGAGAATATGTTGTGAAGGTTATTTTTATAATAATCCTTCGATGGTTACTTACTCAAAAGTCAACTGTTTTTTCTGTAACTCGATATTTACTAAATCTCTTGATCTCATCACATATTAATGGCTTGAGTTGTAGTCAAAGTTGAAGAAAGATTTTGACAAGAAATAAAACTAAATTATTTTATGTATCAAAAATATTTCTTTGCATTGTTTTAAGACATTCAAAAGAATCTTCACTTAAGCCCTAGTACGAGTATATTATTACTCGTAATAATATACACGTATACACCCAGCAGAATGTATTCTAATCTGATCATTTTGTAAGAGAAATTTCATGCGGTAAAGACGATGTGAAAACCAATATGTGGTATGATTGAACCAAAATGATGATTCAAGTAAGTATATTATGACCTAACATTTAGTTAAAATCTGGTTAAATTAACTAACAACACTTTTCGATAATCCATTATTTGTTTTAGTAGAAGTATTAGCTTTATTTTTACTTCATTTCAAATTTGTTTTATTACATAGAAATAAACAA